TAAGTTGACTGTTTGTATTTGTAACTTCAACAAGTTGTGCCAAGCCTGTCAAAGACTTTGTGAAAATAAAAATCTTGTTTGATGTTCAATCTGAAATGGCCTTAGTTGCTGGGATTCCTGAGTTTCAAAGTAAGGCCCCACGGTCCACCCGGGTAAAGAAAGAAGCACATCATAGTTTTAACCTTATAGGGTTTGGGTGTGACGGCACATCCTGGATATCAGATATTTACATTATGATTCGTAACCGTAGCAAAATTACAGTTATAAAATTACAGCTTCATGTAAGCCGCATCGAGTCCTTTGGGAGATGGTAGCGGGGTATAAATACAGTTTTATTATTATTATTTATTATAAAGGAGCAACGAAAATAATTTTATGGTTGGGGGTCACCACAACACGAGGAACCATATTTAGGGGTCACGGTGTTAGAAAGGTTGAGAACCACTGCTCGACAGAAGTAGAGAAGATCGGGATACAAAAGTTTCAAATAAATAAATAAATCTATGTATATAATAAAAGTCAAAGTTTGTATGCGGCGGAAGTGTGGCGGTGCGACCGGAGGGGTATGTGCCAGCTTTCCGATTGGCTGCCACTGTGGTGCTATTTGCATCTGGTCTCTGATTGGCCAGCCTGAAAGTTCCAAGATTCCGATTGGCTGCCACTGTGGTACGATTTGCATATGGTCTCTGATTGGCAACCCTGAACATTCTGAGGCAGCAAAGGGAACAGGAAAGGGGCCTGAAGCTGTCAGGAATGGTTGGAGTTTAAGTCCAAAACACCTTGTGGCCCCCAACAATGACAGAACAAGACCAAACTTGACACACAGAGGCCCAATGGCCCACTTTAAAACCTGGTGCGGTTCAGGGCAGGATGGGCCACCAAAGATGGGATTTGCAGTCCCTTCACCCAATTCACTTCCCACAGAACATTGTAGCCCCTACAAATCATAGACCAGGCCCAAACTTAGCACACAGAGCACTCATGGCCCACTCTACATCCTGATGCAGTTCTAAGGGGGATGGACCATGGATGATGGGACTTGCAGTACCTTCACTCACTTACTGAAACCACTGCGACCCTCATCCAATGACCAATCAAGACCAAATTGGCACACAGAGCCCCCATGACCCACTCTACATCCTGCTGCAGTTTGGAGGAGGGTTGACCATGGATGATGGGACTTGCAGTACCTTCACTCACTTACTGAAACCACTGCGACCCTCATCCAATGACTGATAAAGACCAAACTTAGCACACAGAGCCCCCATGACCCACTCTACATCCTGCTGCAGTTTGAAGGAGGATGGACTTTGAATGATGGGACTTGCAGTACCTTCACTCACTTACTGAAACCACTGTCACCCTCATCCAATGACTGATAAAGACCAAACTTGGCACACAGAGCCCCCATGACCCTCTCTATATCCTACTGCTGTTTGGAGGAGGGTGGACCATGGATGATGGGACTTCAAGTACCTTCACTCACTTCCTGAAAACAATGCAACCGTCATGCAATCTATATATCTAAATCTGAAAGGGGCGTCGAACGGGACAGCAAAACTCAAAAACCACCCAACGAAAATTAACCAAAATTCCCATGCACCTACCACAACCCACAAGGTACAAACAAATCGAATCAAAGTAAAAAAACAACACAACAACACACTCACAAAATGACAAAACAACTGAGCATGTGCAATGGCACCCAGCCGCAAGTTCCCTGGCGCGCGCACATGGCCTGCCGGCCAACGCTCCCTCCGCGCAAGCCACGCCCCCATCCTCCCGCCGCGCCGTTTCCCGCCCTGTCAAAATTATCCCTCCTCCCAACTCACCCTCCTCCACCAAGCCCCGCCCCCTTCTAACCCCGCCCACCCCCTTCCCCCCTGTCAAAACCATCCCTCCTCCCCCTCCTTCATCTAACCCCTCACGTTACCTCCAAGCCCCGCCCCCTTCTAACCCCGCCCACCCCCTTCCCCCCTGTCAAAACCATCCCTCCTCCCCCTCCTTCCCCGCCCATGCCACCTCCAAGCCCCGCCCCTTCTAACCCCACCCACCCCCTTCCCCCCTGTCAAAACCATCCCTCCTCCCCCTCCTTCATCTAACCCAGCCCCCTCCAAGCCCCGCCACCCAAGCCCTGTCCAAATCTATCCCTCCTCCCCTCCTTCTTCTTCCCCTCCAAACCCCGCCCCCTCCGGGGGAAGATGTAGAGAAAGGGAGGGAAGGAAAGAAGGAAAGAGAGAAGGAAGAAAAAAAGAGACAGCAGAAGAGAAAGAAAAAGGGGGAGGAAGGAAAGAGATAGAGAAGGAAAGACGGGAAGGAAGGAAAGAAGGAAGAAAGAGAAAGGGAGGTAAAGAAAAAGGGGGAAGGAAGGAAAGTAAGAGAAAGAAGGAAGAAGAAAAGGAAAGAAAAGGAAAGATGGAAGGAAAGATAAGAGAGACAGCAGAAGAGAAAGAAAAAGGGGGAAGGAAGGAAAGAGGTAGAGAAGGAAGAAATGAGAGAAAGAGGGAGGGAAAGAAAAAGGGGAAAGAAGGAAGGAGAGGAGGAAAGAAAAAAGGGAATGAAGGAAGGAAAGAGGGAGTGAAGGAAGGGGGAAGATGTAGAGAAAGAGGGAGGGAAGGAAAGAGAAAAGGAAGAAAAGAGAGACAGCAGAAGAGAAAGAAAAAGGGGGAAGGAAGGAAAGAGATAGAGAAGGAAGAGGAGAAGGAAAGATGGGAAGGAAGGAAGGAGAAAAAGAAGGAGAGAAAGAGGGAAGGTTGGCCACAGCAAATAAAAAGTGAAAGAAGGAAGGAAACATGGAGGGAAGAAAGGAGGCAAAGGAAGAAAGGGGGAGGGAATGAAGGAAAGAGAGAAGGTACCTCTCTTTCATAATAGACCAGATATCTACCTCTACTATGAAAAGATTTACTATAGGCCACAGCAACGCGTGGCAGGGTACAGCTAGTGACCAATAAAGACCAAACTTGGCATACAGAACCGTCGTTACCCACTTTCTCTAATAAACCGGGCAGCGCCGGGTCCCCAAGCTAGTAAATAAATAAATTACTGTAACGGAATAGTAACGAAAATTCGTTACTCTCGTTACAGGAACGAATTTCCCACTAACTATGCTTCAGAAACACTTTAGAAACGAAATGCCAGTTTGGTAATTCCCTTTGGACCATTTCCTTTTGAATGAATGCCTAGTGCAGTGGTTCTCAACCTGGGGGTCGGGACCCCTGGGGGGGTTGTGAGGGGGTGTTAGAGGGGTCGCCAAAGACCATCAGAAAACACAATATTTTCTGTTGGTCATGGGGGGTTCTGTGTGGGAAGTTTGGGCCAATTATATCGTTTGTGGGGCTCAGAATGCTTTTTGATTGTAGGTGAACTATAAATCCCAGCAACTACAACTCGCAAGTGTCAAGGTCTATTTTCCCCAAGCACCACCAGTGTTCACATTTGGGCACTGAGTCCACAGTGCTCTCTGGATGTAGGTGAACTACAACTCCAAAAATTCAAGGTCAATGTCCACCAGATCCTCCCAGTGTTTTCTCTTGGTCATGGGAGTTCTGTGTACCAAATTTGGTTCAATTTCATCATTGGTGGAGTTCAGAATGCTCTTTGATTGTAGGTGAACTATAAATCCCAGCAACTACAACTCCCAAGTGACAAAATCATAATTTTTTGAGTGATGGTCACTCCTTGTGTTGTGAGACGTTTTGTTGCCAAATGAGGGAGATAGAAGCCCCTGAAGTTTCCCCAATTGTAATTACACGCAATTACTGGAACGGAATTGTAACGAAATTTCATTACTCTCCTTACAGGAGCACTTTAGAAACGAAATGGCAGTTTTGTAATTCCCTTTGGACCATTTCCTTTTGAATGGATGCCTAGAGGTACAAAAGTTTCAAATAAATCAATAAATTACTGTAACGGAATAGTAACGAAAATTCGTTACTCTCGTTACAGGAACGATTTTCCCACTAACTATGCTTCAGAAACACTTTAGAAACGGAATGCCAGTTTGGTAGTTCCCTTTGGACCATTTCCTTTTGAATGAATGCCTAGTGGATGCCCTTGTAGTGGATGCCCTTGCCTAGTGGATGCCCACATCGGAACAGCCAGGTCTTCAAGTTCTTTCTAAAGACTGCCAATGTAGGGGCCTGTCTGAGATCTTTTGGGAAGGCATTCCAGAGTCGGGGGGGGGGGCCACCACAGAGAAGGCCCTGTCTCGTGTCCCCACCAAGTGCGCCTGCGATGCAGGCGGAATCACGAGCAGGGCCTCTCCAGATGACCGAAGTGAACGTGTGGGTTCGTAGACGGAGATGCGGTCACGCAGGTAGGCTGGTCCGCTGTTGTTGTTTTCCCCTGGACTTAATGTCAGGGGAAAACCATTACCTTTACCGAAGAGCGGCCCATGTGTTCTGCCATTGCAGCAAGTCTGACCCCAAAAGCTTTAAAAATGAGGGAGATAGAAGCCCCTGAAGTTTCCCCAATTGTAATTACACGCAATTACTGGAACGGAATTGTAACGAAATTTCATTACTCTCCTTACAGGAGCACTTTAGAAACGAAATGGCAGTTTTGTAATTCCCTTTGGACCATTTCCTTTTGAATGGATGCCTAGAGGTACAAAAGTTTCAAATAAATCAATAAATTACTGTAACGGAATAGTAACGAAATTTCGTTACTCTCATTACAGGAGCACTTTAGAAACGAAATGGCAGTTTTGTAATTCCCTTTGGACCATTTCCTTTTGAATGGATGCCTAGAGGTACAAAAGTTTCAAATAAATCAATAAATTACTGTAACGGAATAGTAACGGAATTTCGTTACTCTCGTTACAGGAACGAATTTCCCACTAACTATGCTTCAGAAACACTTTAGAAAGGGAATGCCAGTTTGGTAATTCCCTTTGGACCATTTCCTTTTGAATGAATACCTAGTGGATGCCCTTGCGGCAGCAGCCAATGGCGAAGGAGGAAAGGAGGGGGCGTGAGTTCGAATCCCGCCCTCTGCTCGCCTTCCTCCCATAACAAGCAAAGGGAAGGAGGGATCAGGCAGAGGAAGAGAGCCATGGCTCGGGTTTTCTCGGCTCTTCGGGTCCTTCTGGGCCTCTTCTTCGCCCTCACCGGGCTGGTCAAGCTCAGCGATCGGATTCCGGGGGATTTCCACCAGCAAATGGTGAGAGCTGCACCCGCTTTGCCTTTGCAAAGGGCCAAGATTGGCAACGGAAGGGCTCTCCTGCACTTGGGGTCTTCTTAGAGCCAGATCTTTGGAATAGGCATCCATTGGGGAACCCAGGAAGCAACCCTTGCCCACAACAAGGGGTTCCAGCTCTGCAGGATGGATTCAATTGGTCTCAATTTAGGGCTAATCCGGTTTCAAGCTTAGTCCCGTGTAGACAGGAGGATCAGGCGTCCTTTCCCCGCCTTTTGGTTTGAAACCGTTTGGGCGCGAATTGGGGCTGGGAAGGCTTTTGGTTTTGGGGAAGCCTTTCCCTACAAATAGTCATACATTTATATTAATATTATATTTGATATGATTAGTAGTATTGCTTTATATTATTTTATATTATTAGATATTATTTTACGTTATTATCAGTAGTATTGTCTTATGATATTATATATTATTATTAGTTGTATTGTTTTATATTATTAGCTATTGTTATATATTATTTTAAGTTATTAGTAGCATTGTTTTCTAGTATGATAATATTTTATAATATTAAAATAATTTGTTTTATATTATTAGCTATTGTTATATATTATTTTATGCTATTAGTAGTATTGTTTTATAGTATGATAATATTTTATAATATTAAAATAATTTGTTTTATATTATTGTTTTATAGTATTATAATATTTTATGTTATTAGTAGTATTGTTTTCTAGTATGATAATATTTTATAATATTAAAATAATTTGTTTTATATTATTGTTTTATAGTATTATAATATTTTATGTTATTAGTAGTATTGTTTTCTAGTATGATAATATTTTATAATATTAAAATAATTTGTTTTATATTATTGTTTTATAGTATTATAATATTTTATAATATTAAAATAATTTGTTTTATATTATTAGCTATTGTTATATATTATTTTATGCTATTAGTAGTATTGTTTTCTAGTATGATAATATTTTATAATATTAAAATAATTTGTTTTATATTATTAGCTATTGTTATATATTATTTTATGCTATTAGTAGTATTGTTTTATAGTATGATAATATTTTATAATATTAAAATAATTTGTTTTATATTATTGTTTTATAGTATTATAATATTTTATGTTATTAGTAGTATTGTTTTCTAGTATGATAATATTTTATAATATTAAAATAATTTGTTTTATATTATTGTTTTATAGTATTATAATATTTTATAATATTAAAATAATTTGTTTTATATTATTAGCTATTGTTATATATTATTTTATGCTATTAGTAGTATTGTTTTCTAGTATGATAATAGTTTATATTAAAATAATTTGTTTTATATTATTAGCTATTGTTATATATTATTTTATGCTATTAGTAGTATTGTTTTCTAGTATGATAATATTTTATAATATTAAAATAATTTGTTTTATATTATTGTTTTATAGTATTATAATATTTTATGTTATTAGTAGTATTGTTTTCTAGTATGATAATATTTTATAATATTAAAATAATTTGTTTTATATTATTGTTTTATAGTATTATAATATTTTATGTTATTAGTAGTATTGTTTTCTAGTATGATAATATTTTATAATATTAAAATAATTTGTTTTATATTATTGTTTTATAGTATTATAATATTTTATAATATTAAAATAATTTGTTTTATATTATTAGCTATTGTTATATATTATTTTATGCTATTAGTAGTATTGTTTTCTAGTATGATAATAGTTTATAATATTAAAATAATTTGTTTTATATTATTAGCTATTGTTATATATTATTTTATGCTATTAGTAGTATTGTTTTATAGTATGATAATATTTTATAATATTAAAATAATTTGTTTTATATTATTGTTTTATAGTATTATAATATTTTATGTTATTAGTAGTATTGTTTTCTAGTATGATAATATTTTATAATATTAAAATAATTTGTTTTATATTATTGTTTTATAGTATTATAATATTTTATAATATTAAAATAATTTGTTTTATATTATTAGCTATTGTTATATATTATTTTATGCTATTAGTAGTATTGTTTTCTAGTATGATAATAGTTTATATTAAAATAATTTGTTTTATATTATTAGCTATTGTTATATATTATTTTATGCTATTAGTAGTATTGTTTTCTAGTATGATAATATTTTATAATATTAAAATAATTTGTTTTATATTATTAGCTATTGTTATATATTATTTTATGCTATTAGTAGTATTGTTTTATAGTATGATAATATTTTATAATATTAAAATAATTTGTTTTATATTATTGTTTTATAGTATTATAATATTTTATGTTATTAGTAGTATTGTTTTCTAGTATGATAATATTTTATAATATTAAAATAATTTGTTTTATATTATTGTTTTATAGTATTATAATATTTTATAATATTAAAATAATTTGTTTTATATTATTAGCTATTGTTATATATTATTTTATGCTATTAGTAGTATTGTTTTCTAGTATGATAATAGTTTATAATATTAAAATAATTTGTTTTATATTATTAGCTATTGTTATATATTATTTTATGCTATTAGTAGTATTGTTTTCTAGTATGATAATAGTTTATAATATTAAAATAATTTGTTTTATATTATTAGCTATTGTTATATATTATTTTATGCTATTAGTAGTATTGTTTTATAGTATGATAATATTTTATAATATTAAAATAATTTGTTTTATATTATTGTTTTATAGTATTATAATATTTTATGTTATTAGTAGTATTGTTTTCTAGTATGATAATATTTTATAATATTAAAATAATTTGTTTTATATTATTGTTTTATAGTATTATAATATTTTATAATATTAAAACAATTTGTTTTATATTATTAGCTATTGTTATATATTATTTTATGTTATTAGTAGTATTGTTTTCTAGTATGATAATATTTTATAATATTAAAATAATTTGTTTTATATTATTAGCTATTGTTATATATTATTTTATGCTATTAGTAGTATTGTTTTATAGTATGATAATATTTTATAATATTAAAACAATTTATGTTTATGTTTCATATATATTTGTATAATACTATGTTAATAATGTATATTGTTATTATTGTATTTAATATTATTAGTAGTATTGTTTTATATTATTATTATTACTAGCCATCCCCTGCCATGCATTACTGTGGCCCACATGGGGGTTCTGTGTAGGAGGTTTGGCCCAATTCTATAGTTGGTGGGGTTCAGAATGCTCTGTGATTGTAGGTGAACTATAAATCCCAGCAACTACAACTCCCAAATGTCAAGATTCTATTTCCCCCAAACTCCACCAGTGTTCACATTTGGGCATATTGAGTATTTGTGTAGAGTTTGGTCCAGATCCATCATTGTTTGAGTCCACAGTGATCTCTGGATGTAGGTGAACTACAACTCCAAAACCAAAGGACACTGCCCACCAAACCCTTCCAGTATTTTCTGTTGGTCATGGGAGTTTGTGTGCCAAGTTTGGTTCAATTCCATCGTTGGTGGAGTTCAGAATGCTCTTTGATTGTAGGTGAACTATAAATCCCAGCAACTACAACTCCCAAATGTCAAGATTCTATTTTCCCCAAACTGCACCAATGTTCACATTTGGACATATTGAGTATTCGTGTAGAGTTTGGTCCAGATCCATCATTGTTTGAGTCCACAGTGATCTCTGGATGTAGATGAACTTCAACTCCCAAACTCAAGGTCAGTGCCCACTAAACCCTTTTAGTGTTTTCTGTTGGTCATGGGAGTTCTGTGTGCCTCGTTTGGTTCAATTCCATCGTTGATGGAGTTCAGAATGCTCTTTGATTATAGGTGAACTATAAATCCCAGCAACTACAACTCCCAAATGACAAAATCTATTTTTTTGAGTGAAGGACATACATTGGGTTGTTAGGTGTCTTGTGTCCAAATTTGGTGCCAATTCACCCAATGGTTTTTGAGTTCTGCTAATCCCACAAACGAACATTACATTTTATTTATATAGATAATAATAATGTATATTGTTATTATTGTATTTAATATTATTGTTTTATATTATTATTTTATATTGATATAATATAATATTTATTTATTTATTTAAAACATTTATATTCCGCTCTTCTCATTCCGAAGGGGACTCAGGGCAGAGCGCAGCATATACACGGCAAACATTCAATGCCGGGATACAAATTCACATACAATACATAAACATTAAAAAACATTTATCAAAATATTAAAATACATATTATTATAATATTTAGTATTATGATATTTATTATTATTTTATCCTTTTCGTCGCCTTCCTTTGCCATTTGTTTCCTAGGGAATTAAGATGATTATTATTATATTTTATATTAATATTATTTTATTATATTGTTGTTGCTATTATTATTATTATTATTATTATTATTATTATTATTATCCTCTTATTCTTATTCTTCCTTTGCCATTTGTTTCCTAGGGAAACCAAGAGGTGAATTTAGATTTTAAATACATTTGATTGCATAGAAAGACACATTTTCCAAAACTTTGGCTCTTGGAACTAGACTCTAGTTGGGTGTATCCACTCTATAGAAAGAATGCTAAGCAATGCAGTTTGACACCACTTTGAGTGCTGTGACTCGTTGCTATGAGATCTTGGAGTTGTCCAAGGCCTGTCCCTTTCTCTTCCGAGAGTGCTGTTGGCTTCCCAAACTCCAAATTTGGTTCAAGTGGTGTCAAACCGCATCAATGGCCGGCATAAAATTACAGTAGAGTCTCGCTTATCCAACCTTCGCTCATCCAACTTTCGGTATCATCCAACGCAATCTGCCTCCCACCCGGATCCACAGCTGTTTCAATACATTGCGATGTTTTGGTGCTAAATTCGTAAATACAGTAATTACTACATAATGTTTCCGTGTATTGAACTGCTTTTTCTGTCGATTTGTTGTAGAACATGATGTTTTGGTGCTTGGGAAGTCTGACTTGGACACGGTAGTCCACGCTCTGGTTACATCCCGTATAGACTACTGCAATGCTCTC